TGTCCGCTCCAGTCCACGTAGTGCATTACTGTGCACCGCACTGCAATTTGCTGAGCTGCTGACTACTGTATGTGGGACTCCGTTTATTCAGGTGCCTTGAAATTTATTCTCCTTGTCTTATTAATATTTTCTTTTCTATAATTTCCCCATTATGAGTTCCTAGCAGTGGAACCTCTCGTGCACTAGGCATAGACTTCACCACTTGGCTAAGAGACCTGAAGACTGATTGTGCGAGCCATTAGTTTGAATACACACACACATTAGCAATCCGTTCACATGCTACGAGATTGAGTCTAATAATAATAATAAGATTAATAATAATAAGAAAGGGTTTGCTCCCCACACCGGAGCTCGCGCTATTCCGCCGACGTTACTTGACACTTGACTGACTCACGACTGCCATCCAGATCACACGAGAAGTCCATCGAACCTTCGACTCGGCAAACCTGCAAGAAAGCACCACTCCCTGCTCAATACACAGTGTTTCGGGGAATTCACCCCTCATCAGTTGAGCTTGAGTAGGCTGAGGAAGATTGTGCCTGAAGAGCACCACTTATATAGTGCTCTCCAGGCACAAACATCACCAGGGATACAAACGTACAGAGACGCTCCGTTTCCAGCGCGACAAACACCTCGTGAACACCAGATAGCAGCGTGAGTCAGTGTCGCTCCTGGACGGTGAGACAGACGTCGAGGACCCTCGGTCATTCCCAACGCTGTCACCTCCAAACAACTAGTCGCAAGCCCGCGCTGGGCACAATAGTACGAAGTAAAGGTTGCGACTTCGGCGATGATTTGTAAGAAAGGGTTTGCTCCCCACACCGGAGCTCGCGCTATTCCGCCGACGTTACTTGACACTTGACACTTGACTGACTCACTGCTTTCTTGCAGGTTTGCCGAGTCGAAGGTTCGATGGACTTCTCGTGTGATCTGGATGGCAGTCGTGAGTCAGTCAAGTGTCAAGTAACGTCCGCGGAATAGCGCGAGCTCCGGTGTGGGGAGCAAACCCTTTCTTACAAATCATCGCCGAAGTCGCAACCTTTACTTCGTATTAATAATAATACAGTAATAATAATAATAAAAGCACATCCGTGAGGCACTACTGGGTGGGTCTTATGACGTACTAGTACAAGTCATCCGCGCTCAAGTCAAAGGGTTAAAAATAATAGTAACAACAATAATATTTAAAATTCTAAGCACTCGCAGACTCCATTGCAGCCACTCACACATTACAGGGTACCTCACTTCAGACTCTCCAACTACGGTCTCTTCGCTGCATAAGTTCACTTCACTTCCAAAATAAATAAATAATACTAGATATAAATGGAATGCACCAAATTTTCGGGCATGGCCCATCTTCAGGGTGAAAACCCCATTCAACTTAAAAGCCAACAAAAACTGAACCGAGTATATAATGCTGTGTGGTGCGGTAGTGCTGGAAATGTTTGTATGTGTGGAGGGTAGCAGCAATGGTGAAGTGTGTTGGTAGAAAGGGAAGGAGCGAAGGAGACCAGTGAAGAGCTGTGTCTGTAAGTGTGAATATGTGTTAGTGCGGCGTGAAGGGAAAGCACGAGAAATGTGTTTACCAGCAGCAATGGTGAAGTGTGTTGTTGTGTGTCTTGAGCAGCAGACACCCAGACAAACGCTTCACAGTGGAACACACCCAGGAGAATGCCTCGCACACATTCAGCTACCTCGACTTGTCTATCTCTGTGGCGAGTGGTGTTGTGCAATGGGAGTTGTTCGGGTGGTAGCAAACCACGGCGAACTGAATAATAAGGAGAGAAACAAAGAGAGAACTCATGCAGCGAAAAAATCGTAGTTGGAGAGTCTGAAGTGAGGTACCCTGTTATGAATAATAAAAATAACGTTTGAGGTAGGTTTGAGGTCACAAGTACCCACGCAAACACACACATCCAGTCAAATGAGGCACTTGTAGTTCCTTGGTCCTTTTTACTTTTTTATATATTATCGTTGGCTGTCCATCTGAGTGTAGACCTAATAATTACATGTTCCTTCGATTTTAAAGTGATACGCCGGTGACCTCTTCTACACGTAACAACTAGGATGACCCAAAAGCAGACCGCCTATCGTGGGGTCCTTCACATTGAAGCCCAAGTCTAGTGTCATCGTGGAGTGCCCTATACCACACGGTGACGAATCAGCAGGCAATCACCAGCCGCAATGCGACGTCACGTAGCGTAGGTACATGTATAAAAACCCTAGGTTTGCTACCGTCTCCAGCCAGTTCTGCACGATAAGTTTCTGTCACCGGTTGGTTTTCTAGCATCTTCCTTCAAACACATTGCTTCCCACCAGAGATTGATTATTTGGTTGCCTGAGTGAGTCGCCGTCTCCCAACAGATAACGGAATCAGGTTCTCTCTGTGTAGATCCTTCTAGCGCCTTGCTAAGTATCGTCCTTGCAGAAGAGTTGGGATTATACGATTCTCGGTCTGAAGTCGGACGGGAATTGTGAATTTTACTGTAAGTATCTGTTTGTCTGTCTTCCTTCTTTCAAGGTGTTTGTCCTATATCTTTATCTTTCCCCATTGTCCTCTTTCTCCCTCTCTGTCTTCCGCTCTGTGTTTCTCTCTGTTCCTCTCATCCTTTCACTCTTCTATTTTATTTTAATTTTTAATTTTATTTAATAATTTAGCCAGCGCAAGCGAAAAGGGACGTTATCCCGCGGCACTTGATTTTGAGAAAATCGCACTTGAAGTAAATCAGCTGATTTCCGGCTGTCACGTTCGGATGACTTGCAACTGTGCGTTTTTCGGTGATACGTGATTTCTTTGGAGCTAATTCACTCTGTGGATAGCAGAGCCAGGATCCCACAGCTCCTGTAGAAGAAAACACTGTCTTAATCGACCCACGTACCACACATTGGCGATCAAATATCGATCGATCGACCGCGCGACCTCCGCTGCACGCGCAGCATGCCCGAGCGTAAAAGACAAAGGAGCTTGCTTTCAGCGCAGCTGCCTTGCTCCCTTCGCTTTTCCCGGAGTCCTTGGGTTGGCGTGACTACTCACCATGAGCTACCGTAAACGTTTCACCGTCAATCCATCCGTGGATGGATTTCCAATTGGTTTTTTCCATGTGATTTGTATATCTTCTGGCTACTAGAATCTGTTGATAACTCAAAAAATGCCCAAAGTTCGGGATAATGTCCCTTTTCGCTTGTTCTGGCATTATATTAATACACTCCCTCTCTCACTGCTGTATTATTCCCTATCTGAGTTTCTCTCTCACTGAGCCTCTCTCTCTCTCTCTCTCTCTCTCTCTCTTTCTCTCTCTCTCTCTCTCTCTCTCTCTTTCTCTCTCTCTCTCTCTCTCTCTCTCTCTCTCTCTCTCTCTCTCTCTCTCTTTCTCTTTATCTCTCTCTACTTCCCGCTCTGCTTTTCTCTGACTCATTCAATTTCTCTCTCTCTCTGTCTCTCACTCTACCTCTCACTCTCTCTCTCTCTCTCACTCTCTCTCTCACCCCTCTTTCTTTCTTTCTTTCTTTCTTTCTTTCTTTCTTTCTTTCTTTCCTTCTCTGTCTCTGTCTTTCTCTCTCTCTCTCTCTGTCTCTCTCTCGCTCTTTCTTGCTCTCTCTCGCTCTCTCCCCCCTCCCTATCTCTCTCTCTCTCTTTATTTCTCTCTCTCTCCCGCTCCCTCTCTCTCTCTCTCTCTCTCTCTCTCTCTCTCTCTCTCTCTCTCTCTCTCTCTCTCTCTCTCTCTCTCTCTCTCTCTCTCTCTCTCTCTCTCTCTCTCTCTCGCTCTTTCTTGCTCTCTCTCGCTCTCTCTCTCTCTCCCTCTCTCCCCTCTCTCTCTCTCTCTCTCTCTCTCTCTCTCTCTCTCGCTCTCTCTCTTTCTCTCTCTCTCTACCGCTCCCTCCCTCCCTCTCTCTCTCTCTCTCTCTCTCTCTCTCTCTCTCTCTCTCTCTCTCTCTCTCTCTCTCTCTCTCTCTCTCTCTCTCTCTCTCTCTCTCTCTCTCTCTCTCTCTTTCTCTCTCTCTCTCTTTCTCTCTTTGCCCCTCTGTATCTGTATCTCTGTTTGTGTCTGTGTGTGTGTCTGTCTCTCTCTCTCTATCTATCTCTCTCTTTCTTTCTCTCTCTCACTCTCTTTCTCTCTTTGCCCCTCTGTATCAGAGTCTCACTGTCCATCCCGGACCGGAGACCACCTATCCCATATCTCAGTATCTAATAGTGTCTGTTTGGGTCCTCTCGTACGCATATCTGCTAGTGCAACAAGAATGGACTGAGGAAGCAGCAAGCGTTCCAAGTGAACAGTTTACGTTCGTGTTGACTCAAGCTGATGACTCAGGTCCATCAGGGATCATACCAGTCACTTGTCATCATGGTCATGACTAAGGAATTCATTTGTGGCCAGGAAACTGCACACTCGCAGGGTGAAAGCTGCGAGGCCAAACAGAAAAGAGTGTGTCGAGCCGTGATCAGGAAACGCTGAGTTCTACCGTGTAGAGGCCAGGAACCCAGTTCACCAATACCTCAAGGACATAATATTATCTAGGTTTACATTCACCAGCGGATTGAGAAAAATGACCAAAGTTGTCTTGGAGAAAGGACGTCTTCTCCGCGTGTTTTACCGGCATTGAACAACAAGATTTGCTTTGGCTCTGGCGCTTTGCTGTGCAGACTTGACCAGGGAGTCGTAAAGTAACTGTAATTTAGGACTCGACTGTACATCGCGTACATCGATCAGCATTAACTCGGGTGCATAGCCGCTATGACTGCACAAGCTCTGGTTTCGGGGCCATCGCCATTTTTCAAAACTGTGGTCGACGCTTTTTGAATTTTGTATGGTAGTGGTGAGCCCTGAAATTGGAAACATTACCAACAAACAACACGACTGGACAGAGGATCATAATCTAAAATTTGAAAGGAATATCTTGCCCCAAACCAGAGTCATGAGGCTACAAAACCTACATCGCCAGTTCAATCTTTTTTATAGTTAATTGGCGTTGAATCTGTTGTGTTTCTTTTCAACAAAATAATGTTTGAACAACAGATGGCTCAAGTTGGTTATGATTGCTACTTCTTCTACTACTCGAGCTGCAACAAGGGACCCGCTTGTCCATTCCGACACAGTGCACCTGCACTTGGCAAGGAAGACGTCTGTCAAGATTGGGCCAGAGGAAGCTGTATTGTTCCGAATTGTGCACGTCGCCACATGGGAATACATGTAAGTAAAGCCAGCCAGTGTGGTTGCTTTGCCTGCACACTCTCTTGCCTTTTTTTCTGGTAGGGTCCAGAAACTGACCGTGGTTGGTCCCCTGGGGAGGGAAAAAGACCCAAGTGCCATCAGTGTGTGTGGCACGTGGTGTGAGCTGCCTTTGGAGTGAAAAACTTGTCAGAGCCTACTAGGTCCAGCCCGGTTCCATAGCTTAGTGGTTAGAGCATTGCTTACGACAAGCAAGTTCGCGGGTTCGAGTCTTGGTGGGTCTGGCGATTTTTTCTCTTATCAGGCAGTTCACTTCCCCAACTGAACCTTTGGATTATTATTATTAATATTATTAAATGTCTCGGATACTGAGCCAATACTTAAAGTACATATAATTAAAATAGAAGAATTTACATGGGAACGGTTTACATGTACGACGCAAAGATCCACGACTGTAACAAGTTTTAAATAAGCAGTCAGAAAGTGCTGTAACAGGACACAAAACTGATATGTTAATAGAGAGGTCAAAATCGCTAAGCTTTTCGCCGATTTTGGAGAGTTCCATAGAGAATCGCCGAGAATCTACCAAATCTTCCAATATCTCACCCATTTTGAAGCCAATATGCCAACACTTCATATAGCCTACATTGTATTTTCAACTAGAGCTGAAACAAGTATAGCAATTCCGGCTGAAACAATTATATCCATTACTCATTACGCGATCGATAACTCCAATCAACAAATCGTTACGTTATAGGTTTTTTCGTTAGGGACTTTGAAAAGCCACGTTTTCGTGATTTTGAATAACGTGCCGCTGTGAGTACGCACTACGCAGTTGCCAGGGGCATAGTCCATATCCTGAAGGTCAATTGCCTTCAAAACTGCCATGTTTTGGAGTTATCCTTTCACCCCTGGAAATTTGTTCGTATTGTGGAGTAATAGCTTGTGGAAACAAGAGTTTTTTTGTACAAACTTCTGACTCTTATTGCTAACGACTATAATCGATTAAGGTGGCAGACTGTGGCAGACTACCGAAAAATTCGCGAATTTTTTGGTAGTCTGCCACCATGCAGCAGGCGCCGTGCAGCAGGACTTTTGCCAGCACCCTCGTGACGTTGCAGATATGTGGCTTGATTATTGTAGTTGACGTTGATTTAGTGACTTTGGCAAGTTTGAGTCGTGTCAAGAAGTCAGGTAGGATTCAGTACTAGGCAGTAGTGGAACGTGAGTGGTAGTCTTTGCCGGTTTCTGAGGGTATCCAGGATTTGGTGTGCAGCGCCACTGGAAAACAGGTGGAGAACAAAAAGAAACGAGGAAAAGGACAAAACATAGGGGATGTAGGGACGACGTGCTGATGTGCTGGGAGCAACTCAACCGACCAGAGGTCTCGGCATCAGCGTTGCAACTAGGCATCGAAAAATGGGTGGGGGTTGCACAAGAACAACTGCAAAACAAACAGAAGCTAGAGAATACCACAAAAATAATAACTTGGTGCGAAATAATGAGAAGAAAATAATGACGCCCCAAAGCGCTAAATACGAAATTAAGAAAAAGAAAATCATAAACCACAGTCATTGTGCTAAAGCTGCACCAAATAATAATTTAAATTATAACTAAACCGGGTGGAAAACCAAGAAATTATAACAAGCAAAACAAGCTAAATAAAAAATTAATAATAAAAAGTTAACTAATAAAAGGTAAATGAAGCCCAATATCACCAGCATAGCCAAACCAAGGAACACGACCCGTGCCATAATCAAGAGTTCATCCGTAGAAGTCGGTAGCCATCAGCCAGTGTTGGTGCGTGAGGTACTTATGGACATCTTTTTTGAACGTATGGAGCCGCTTCAAGCTGAGTGGAGCCCTTACAATTTCGCTTGGCAAGCTGTCATACTGAGATGACAGAAAACGGGAAATAGCTTGCTGTGGACGTCCCAGCACTGGATGTTGTATGAAAGGTACGACCTCGTAGCACGTGCTAAACCTAAAAATATTAATTAACTTAGGTCTGTGGGAGTCTGTGAGAGAACGCCCACTCGTTCCGTTGTGACAGATTCCAGGGCCACGTTGAGGGGCCCTATCCCACCCCCCATGGCTGCTTCTGGACTTGTTTTAGGTTTGGGACTCGCGCACGGACAGAATGGGCACGAAAATGTGAAAAAATTGTAAATGCATTTGTTTGGCTCCTGGGTGGCTCGCACACCGTGGCACTATGGCGGAAATTTGAGTTTTTCCGGCCTGGAAAGCCTGTCAGTGAGGCGCAAGAACTTGTAAATCATGGCCTGAGGGCCAGCATAGTGGCAGTAGTGTGTGGTCAAAATTTCCATTGAGAAACAAAAGTTACGGTCAATTGAATGCCATATGAAATTTATGGGTAGGCTGCCCCCTTAATCCATCATTAATCGGTGGCGCTACACCTTTCCAGCACCGTCCCACGCAAGCACACATATCTGAGCAATGGGTAAACAGATTCTTATAAAAATTTCAGCATTTACTCCTTGGATATACCCGTTGCAGAAACAGCAAACATAAAGCCAAAGATGCCATCTATCTACTGTTGGCATACATGTGACGGATCTGTTCGCAAAATCCGCCGAAAGGTTCGCCTGTAACCACAATATAGAAGACCATGCGTCCTATGCATAAAATGAGTGCCACTGCAGTGTCTCACGCACACACACATGGCAAGACATTGAACCAAAGAAAGGGGACATCAGCAAAACAAGCCAGCAAGTGCAGGAGATTTAAAAAAAAGAGCGATAAGCGCAAAAAATAACAAAAAGGTTTGACCTCTGCTATCATAATCATATGAAGAGCAGCCCTCTGAAACTTCGGTTCATGTCTAGCTAATGCTTCACAGATTTCAAAAATGTATACTTTGCTGGGTCTGCAGGCCACGATTATCTCAATAGCCTGGTTAAGAGTTTTGGGAATAGCCAAAAAAGGGGAAAAATTGCAGTATAATGCATGTATTTACAATCTGTGTCCACCACGCCAGCTATTTTTTATAAGGCCCCAGTCTCATAGGTGAGACCTTTGTCATCAACAGTCTGCTCCTCCACACCCTACCTCACTCTCCTTTGCCTCTGCCTTGCACTCTTCACTTCATCTGAGGATTTCCTGGCTGCATTCTTGGCTTGCTCACGGTCCAACTTCTCAAGCACTGTGCGCGTGTAGTGACCAGCTGTCAGGCCCATCGCTTCAAGAATCTCCTCCAAGGCCTTGTTCTTCTCGTTGAAGCAAGCAGTGGCTATGGCAACAGCTGTCTGGACAGTCCTTCACCAGCAAAAGCCAGTCTTTGGACAAATCTGCCAAATGAGGCCATTGATGCACTCGTTCCGATTCTGAGTAGCGCCACGCAAGCATTTCTCGAGAAGTTGCCTCTCAGTCAGCCGCAAGTACACAGGCTGGTCCAGGGGGCAGAACTGATGCTGCGGCTTGTCATCTGTTGAACACACAATGCATAACCAATGCCCATATCGCGCGTGCCATGCCTTTCAGGTCATTGCTATGTCCACGTACGTTGGCAGTATACTGCTCCTTGCTGATCTCATGTTTGCTCAGCTTCCTCTGGAATATTGTGCACTGCTGGCAGTGCCGGGAGATGACTTCATAGTCGATGACTTTGCCAGTATCCCACGAGATGGCAAAAAACGCTCCATGTAGGGAGGTAAAGCCGCTTCGCATCCACGTTCCGTCGTAAGTGACGGCAATATCCGGGGAAGACGCCAACTCCTTGGCATTCGCAGCTGCACACTCATGCTGCTGGTGGCAACAAATCTACCGGCCTTTGCTAGTACCTTGGTGTGCTTCTGGTATGCAGAGACATTCATGGGTGCAGGCGTATTCATGACAGTGCAGAATTTCACAAGGGATGCCCACGTCCTATCCATGTCATTGCAGTAGCCAGCTTTCTGTTCACATCCCAGCAGTGCCCACTCTTCTTGGACATAGCTTCACGGCTGAAAGCTGTCACAGGCCAGCGATAGAGTTGAAGGCAATCCTTCACGACGTACTTCACATAGTGTAAGGGTGCCATGGCACGCTGAGCAACAGGCACTATCAGCAAGTAAATTTGGTAAACATTCTAAATAAATAATTCGGCTCCCGGTCGTCAGGTAATCATCACGCTCATCCCCAGAGCTGTCGCTGTCACTGTCACTAGATGTCTCATTCTCACCAGAATTAGACTGTTGGACTTTGGCATCATCCCTATCTTCTGGCAACACAGAAGAGTCCTCTGCCACGACAATTTTCGTAATTTCACTCGACAATTAAAATATTTAGCACATTGATTTCCGTGGAATTTGCGCTTCTTTGGACGACCAGGACGGCCTACGTATTGCCTCTTGCCCATAGTGATCAAGGAAGGTTCCACAAAACCGATGAAAGCCAACAAAGCAGCTAAACTGATAAAGAGCTACAGTTTGGAGATTGCTGAGATTGGAGATTGTTGGTATAAAAATATTTACCAAAAATTTGAAGTACGACATGCGCACTGTGTGTGGTGACATGCGCACTGCCACTGCTCTGCGTGGGGCGCAGCAAGGTAAAACCAGGGAGATTTTCAGTCTTTCCGCGAAGTTTCATGGCTAAAATGCCAGCGAAATTAAAGTTACATGCAAAACATGTGTAATGTAAATTCTACTGCGTTAAAATTTGAATTTTTTGAATTTACAATTACTATTTTTGACAATAGCGGCCTTTGAAAGTCCATATCTCAAACACTGCTGAAGCAATTCACTTCAAAGTTTCGGGATGTGCGGTTGGGACCTACCCGGAGGATCTGGAAGCGAAAATGGGGTCAAAATTCGATTTTTGACCCTCTGAAAGGTGCCAGAAAGGTGTAGCGCCACCTTTAAATAAGCTAAACAGTAATCGAAAGGTGAGAATCCACAATCGTTCCAACCCTACCTGAGCCCAGTATATTCCAATTTTGCAGCCGATAATCAAACAATCAGCTGATTTTTCAGCCCAATCTGATGAATTTTGGTCATTTTTCGGGCCGAGCGAAAAGCCCATCAGGCGATAAAATCGCGGTTTGGGGAAACCTAGTGCATGGTGATGCATTCTGAGTTTCTTTGTTTTCGATGTGCTCTTGGTGACTGTCTTGCAGAAAGACCGTGGCAGCATGCCATGCTACTGGGAGTCTCAGCAAATGCGGTGCATCAAGCCGTTCTGCCCATTCAAGCTTTTGAAGCCCCGTCCTGATGCGCCTCTGCAAACTGGCCAAGTACAACCCACTACGACTGCACCTCAAGGAAATCCAGTCAAAGGTAAGCATTTCCTGTTTGCTGTAAGACTGTACTTAGCCCTAGTGCACAATAATAGCGTGTGTACGAGGTACTTATTTATGTATATAGAAATCTGCACGGCAAAATGGCTGCTACACTGCTGTTAGTTGTATGAAGCAAGAAGGCCCATTTCACCTGAAATATTAGGAAAATCAAACAAACATGTTATACGTCCGTGGTACGGAAAGGGCTGCGGGAGGTCCGTTTTACCGGTTACTTGCGTACTCTTGCTCACGGTGAACGCAAGGCCCATTTCACCTGAAATATTAGGAAAATCAAACAAACATGTTATACGTCCTTGGTACGGAAACGGCTGCGGGAGTTGCGTTTTACCGGTTATTTGCGTACTCTTGCTCATGGTGAATGCAATGTTGCTGGATGCGGCGTATCTATACTGCTTGCCATGCATCAAGACAATCTATCATTGATGCTAACCCTTACTGTCCTATCTACTCTGCAGCTGGACCAGCGCAGGTGCTTCCACCTGATTTCAAGTTGCTGATAACCATACCTGGTGACAGCAATGCACAGCGCAGCCCTACCATCCGGACTATTGGCAATTCTCAAGAAAGACTGCGACACGCCCGAACACAAGGGGTTGCCACCGACTCAACTGCCGCTGACTCCAGAATGGATATGAGAAGAGCAACTCGAGCCAAAAGCCGATACCATTTGGTTCATGCTCGCGATCATCCAAATCAACAGCATAGATTTGGACCTGCAAGGCATGGTCCAATTCGTTTGTTACCAACGAAAAGGGCAGCATTTGTTCAGCAAAAAGACCAAACGAAGCCGTTAGCCAAACGACGCAGGCCTGAGGTACTACAACCGTGAAATTTCATTGGTATATCAATGAATGAGTTGTGTGTGGGTGTATGTGTATGTGTATGTGTGTGTCCCATATGGTGCAGTGGTATGTGCAGCGATTTCCAATCGATAGGTTGCGGGTTCGATTCCCGACGAATATGGTCACACGCGTCTTTCTTCTCTTTCTCAGACTCTTCCTGACTTTTCTTTCATTCTCCTGGGTGGTTACCAAGAGCCAGTGCATGCCGGAGGGTGTGGTGTGATGTGTGTGCAGGAAAAACATGAAAAAGACCAAAAATAGGGATTCACTGGCCCGAAAAAATCACTTCAAATAGCTGTATGGTGTCGGCCAGGCTGAATAGTGACGGGCAATTCTTCAGCCTTGCAAGCTGTTGAATGGTGCAATCCCAGCACAAGTTGCTGTGGCTTCTGCCGTAGCATTGCTATCATCTCCTTCGTCGATGGGCGTCTAAGGTCAAAGTTGTGTGTGTGTGTGTGTGTGTGTGTGTATGTGTGTGTGTGTGTGTATGTGTGTGTGACTGGGTGTAACTGTGTGTGATGTGTGTCGGTCTGTCTGGCTGTCTGTAACTGTCAGCGCATGCATGCACCAATATGCTTGCTTCTTATAGTGGCATTGCCTTCATTTATGAAAAGGAAATATTTCATTTTTGCAGACATAAATCTAGAGCACAACTTGCTAATCCTTTTTTTCTGACGGACACATGCAAGGATATGTATGTCCTGGTGCTGAAAGTTAACAGAGTCATATGCCATCCTTTTTGTTGACGACTTTGGCGGTGTCCTTTGAGGATCCCGGTCGTTTCACCCTTTATCTTTTAGTTGCAGAACTTCAACCTCACTGGCGGTTACTTTGCAATATTAATTTTGCGTTCTTGAGTTCCTGTGTAAACGTGTATGGATCTCTTCCTCTCTGTGTGTGGCTGATTTGGGTGCTTATTGAACCTTTAAATGACGTCAGGTGTTCTTTTTCTTCTTGCCGGTGGTACGTGGCTCTGTGCCTGTCCTGTTTATGTTGCTTTTCATTGGAGGTGGAAGTTAAGGCGGAAACATTCAAAGTTCAGTCGCTGAATAAAATTGGTCATACAAATTGTTTCAACAAGAAGCCTCTGTCAATGCCATCTTCATTTGCTCAGAGGCAGACATCATCATCTGCTCAAAGGCAGACATCATCATCTGCTCAAAGGCAGACACTACCATCGTGCCCTCTTCAGTCCAGTGGGCTGTCCGTCAAGGAGCTAAGAGCCAAACGCTTTTCCAAGCAACAGCAGCTCCAGCAGCAGCGTCAGCAGGACACAGAACAAGAACAGAGAAGAGAACCCTGGGCTAAGGTGCATGCCAACACCAAGCCACTGCCTTTAAAAGCCACCCAAAAGGTACTACTTCCTTACATGTACAATAAGTAACTGTTGCAGTACCACCAATGCTGCTGACAATACCAGTGCTCAACACTACAAGACCAAACTTTGCACCAAACCTGAAAGTGAAGCTTGCACGTGCACCACTATTAATTTTGTGCATGGCTTGCTTTCTTCATTTTTTTTCCGGAAAGGTGCCATTAGTTCTTTGCGCCAGTTATGTGTCAAATAAAGCTCACAACTTCATTCATTGCTTTAAGGTGCGTCGTCATAATGTCCTGCGGATTATGGTTTACGTGTTGCATTGTCTTTTTAATTCGTCAGCCAATGCCAGGCCTCTCAGCTGTTTTAGCTGTCTTTTTCTCTCTGTCTCTATCTCTCTCTCTCTTTCTCTCTCTCTCTGTCCCTATTTCTCTCTCTCTCTTTCTCTCGCTCTCTCACTATCTCCTTCTCTCTCTCTCTCTCGCTCTCTCTGTTGTCATTCTTCTGACTGCTCCATAGCCTGGTGATGTTCCAGCGACCCCACCAGCGTCCACCGCTGCTGGTATTCACATCAAGTCTTTAGATGAAATCCGTGCTGAGAAACGCAAGCACCATGAGACCACTAGTGACAGCACTATATCTGCAGCAGGCACCTGTCAAAGGAGACCGGCCGATAGTCAGACTTCCACTATTCAAAGGAGACCGGCCGATTCAACCAGCAAGGAATCCACATCAGTAGTTGTCAGTTCAGCAAGCAAGAGTGTATGTAGTTCAGTACTGAGTACTGCACCTACCAAGAGTTCCACTCAAGCGGTAACACCTGCTAAGATAACAAGACTCAGCAGTCATTCTTCTGGTAAGTTGTATTGCTAATGCATGCTGGTATTAGAAACGTGCGTGAAGACGTTAATTTCGATCTGTTGTCCTTTCCTGTGCCTTTTCTTAAGCGATACCTTTCTCTGGTTGTTTATTTGTGTGGCCTGGCTTGGTATTTACTGTATGGTCTTTGGGATATGTGCTACACCTCTCGTTACATTCGGATAGTGAGTCCTGCTTCATTCTCGTGTGGCAAGACCATTTGCTTCAACACGGCTGCAGTGTGCTACAATACAGTTTAAGGGCTTTGCAAATAGTTAACGCTATTCCTGACATAGGGGTTGGTAGTAGGTGATCTTGCGTGTATGATATGTTTGTTCCAGCATTCTATAGCTAATGGGATGCTATAATCTGGCTTGATCCATTGTAAATATATTAAATAATTATAAATGCTTGCTTCTTCATCTGCACTATTCAGCTAAGAAGGAAAGCCCAGCCACTACGAAGGTGTCCCAAAGTGAAGGAAGTGAAGTTCCTTCCACTGCTGATACTACTACTATGAAGTCTGATGCCAAGTCTGAATTTGATTGGTAAGTGCTTGTTACGGGCTAATTCTCATCACACTGTGCCTTACATGCCATTCCTTAATGTGTCCGAGTTTTCACCCTGCACATTTTTGGATTCATGGCGCGAATTAAATTTGCATGGATTCAGCGGATTGAATTTTCCGTATTTTATAGGCAACTGTATGGTGGGTCTGACTTACTCATCTCCGACCGCTTTAGAAGCTGCATCTGCACCTTGATCCTTGAGGGTGATTCGGTTCCTATGGTTGTGAACATTTCAGTCTACCTGAGTCCCATGCTAGACGTAATTTTTCTTTTAATATTCCGTCATTTTTGGGATTTAATTATAAACATGAGTGGTTCAGTTATTACTACTGCAGTCACAACATGGTAGTTTGAGTATATCACATCCACGACATTCCCATAGCAGTATCTGAATGTCCCTTCGTATTGTCTTACCGGCTGTAGATAACTTCTTATTCTTTTGACTGTTCTAGGCTCGATGACATCAACCTGCTGGATGACGATGTATTTGAGAAAGCGATGAAGGAATTTGTTGGTGACGTAACCTACGTCGACTTGAATAAGCCAGACCTTGACGAAACAGTCAACAGCGAAGATCTACTCCTGGAAGCGGAGCTGATGATTTAGACTAAGAGAAATTTTGTGTATTGTCAGAGTGCACAGTGTGCTCCTCATTTGCCATGCCTACATCATGCTCAATCGCCTTTGGGGATATACACCCGGTTTTTTCCTACTGCGTCCGTCGGCGCGAGGGTTTTTTCCCGGCTGGCTCGGTCCAGGAAAATTAACCTGACGGCCCCAAGTGGTTTTGCATCATGCCCTATTTCAGCTATCCGCTGGCACACGTATTTGGGCATCTTCGACTAATGCTTGATTATATTACTCATAATGCTTTGAGCGCTGCTCGTTATATCAGCCTAATGTTATATCAGCATAATGCTAATTTGAATGCTCGCTTTTCACTTTCTCGCTGGCTGTGTTGCGCAGAATCATGTGCCAACCTTCACTACATGTATATTGCATTGTCATTTCATTCAGTACAATGCGCCCATATAATTATGGTCATATTTTCGACAACGCTGCTCAAACTTGATATGAATCAACTCACCTACTCCGAAGCCACATTCTGCCAGTCTGCAATGGGTTCTGAGACAGCCCGGAAGTTGAAGTTGCTTTGAAGGATGCTAAGGAACGTTGATTTCCCAGCTCCTAGACAGCAGAATACCAAATTGGAATGAGTATAGCTCAGACAAAGAACTGAGGGTAGAGAGTAATCAGTAATGCTAGATCAATAAGACACAGTCATGCTTACCAATATTACCCTCGATCGCTATTGACTCGTGGGCTGCATGCGTAGGCCTAATGAGAACGGAATACAGTAAAACCTGTCAAGGCGACCACCTGTTCTAGAAGACCACTGCAACCAGAACCCAGGGGTGATATTTCCAGTTATTTTACCCTGGATAAGGCTACCATCTGGTGACAGAGACCACATATTGAAGGTCCTTTGACCGGTCGTGATAGACAGGTTTATGCCTCATTTCTCGTTGGCTGACGTAGGAAAGAAACGAGAATGTAGTTCTTTTTGTCTTTCTTTTGCATGACGTAACATTTGCTGTCGCAAATGCGAGATATTAGGAGCATGCGCCCCGGCTGCGGCATTCTTTTTCTTCTTGCTTTGCAAGTGTAGTGTATTTCTGATCCCGTTTTTTCAACGTACTTTCAGGATCCTTTTAGGAACATGCCTCCCCGTAAAAGGACCCGTCGTGTTGCAAGCGCAGAACCCGCACGACTGCAGGCTGACGCGCAGCGGAACTTGATCGAAGTCCATGCGGCGGCGGCACGCCTGGAGGAGCAGGCAACTAGCATCAGGCTGCTCGAGGCCCAAATCGAGGTCGAAAGGGCCAGGGCCCCGGAATCCCCACGCGGCAGAGGTCGCAGACGGAGACGTTATCCGTCATCGTCGCCATCGTCGTCGTCATCATCTAGATCATCGTCGAGTGCCAGCAGTGCATCGCGGTCACCCAGCCCAAGGAGCCGGAGATCCAGGTCCAAAAAATTCAAAAAATCAAAAAGTTCCAACAAGAAGGCTCGCCGTCATCGCCATCGCTCCAGTGCTACGTCAACGGGCCCCAGTAAATGGAGGAACGTGGCGTATGAGCACCAGCACGCAGTAAACGCCCGGCTCCAGGAGCGCCTGGAGAAAATGCGGAGGGCACTGAAGTCCGACCGGCTGAGGAGCGCAACGGAAAACCTAAAGAAAGGAGAGGACATTCTAGAGGACAGGCAAGAGTGGCTCGCCGTCGCCGATACCCATGGGTTAGAGGTGGCGAACAAATTTGTGGAGGGAGGGGAAATCCTCAGCATTGTGACCTCCGCCGAAAAGAGCAAGAGACTGAATGCGGCCGTGCAGTGGCCCTTTCGGAGGAGGGGGAGGGGGGGGGTGGGCATCCCATCCAGGTTCGGCAGGGGCGGGGTGGTCACCCGTAAAGCAGCCGCACGAGGGGCTGAGCAGCCACCACAACAGCAGTCACCTTCTAGGCCCAGCGAGGCACCAAGGACGCAACCGGGGAGAAACCCCATCCAGCCTGGCCCCAAAGTCTGCTTCCGTTGCGGCGAGCCAGGCCACTTCATCAATTTCTGCCAGAAGCTAGCCGCTCAGAAATAGCTCTGAGGGCTGTGCGGACGGACTCCCCCCTGATGTAATAGATGATGAAGTGTATTCGGTGCTGAGTGTCGTTGACAAGGGGTGCGTGGCGGGCATGTGTGAATCTGACGATCAAGGGGAACTAGAGGGGCAAGGGGTGGTGGTGAGCAGTTTAGCTAGGTGCAAGCCATTTTGGGAAACTATGGGGGCATCCGAATTTGTGCTAAGGATCATTTGTGAAGGGTATCTACTCCCGTTCGTGCAGCTACCAAGGCCGAAAACTGTAAAAAATCACAGTAGCACTCAGTGCCAATTTGATTTTGTCACAGATTCAATTAGAGACTTGATGGAAAGAGGGTGCATAAAGGAGGTCAAGAGTGAGGAGGCAGTGATTTGCAGCCCTTAAGGCGTGGTAAATAATGGAACAAAGTTAAGACTCATTTTGGATTTGAGGTACGTCACTACTTATCTGGCGAAATTTAAATTCAAAATGGAAGACCTGAAAACAGTCGCAAGAGTCTACGAAAAGGGTGACTACGTGATTACTTTTGACCTGAAAAGCGGGTACCACCACATTGAAATTGCACAGGAGCATCAAAAGTACTTGGGGTTTAAGTGGTTTAATGCGGAGGGAACTATCACAACCTATTTATTTTGCGTGTTACCGTTTTGCCTCTCCACGGCTCCTTATGTTTTCACAAAAGTGACACGTGTTTTACTGCGGCGTTGGAGGGAGTTGGGCATAAGATGTCAGCTCTACATGGACGACGGGTCTGGTAGGCACTCTACTGTCGATAGGCCTTGACGGATTATGCTAATATTTTCGTGAAAATAATTATGCTTTTCGCATTGCTGAAAAAAATGCAGAATTATGCTATTTTTATGCTAAAAGTTATTATTATGCCGCATTATGCTCACATATGCTGCTAATGCATAATGGTTCTGTGCAAAGTAACAGGGGAATTTTTTTGTAGAGGGCGTTGTACTGTAGTAGCAAAAGTTCAACGGGATCAACGCACCGTCCGACCTAGCTACGACCATCACTGATTGTAGTGGGCTGGACATGTTATCAAGGGAGTCGTAAACCTAAAAATTCCTAGTGCATCTACTTGTACTTGTAGAACATGAACGATGTATGGAATTTGATGCGAACAGGCGGATTATTACAATTTTATGCGATTCGTATGCAATTTGCCTCGAATTATGCGATTATTCGATTTTGGTAGGAATTATGCGAAAAATTATGCTAGCATAATCCGTCAAGGCCTAACTGTCGAAGGGGCAAAGGTGGTGGCAAAACAGATGAAAGCTGATCTCTTGAGAGCTGGGTTTGTGCCCAATGAACTAAAATCCCAGTGGGAGCCATCACAAACGGTCGAAATGCTAGGCATGTGCATTGACCTCAAAGAGGGTCGAATTTTTGCGACAGAGCGCAGAGTGGCGAGGCTTAAAGAGTGCCTAGCACGGTTGAGCGGTCTAGCAGCGCCACCCGCGAGGGAAGTGGCGAGGCTAGCCGGCTTCCTGTTGTCTATGTCGCTTGCGCTCGGGCCAATTTGCCGTCTGCGTACCAGGGCATTCTACAGCATGATATTGTCTAGGAGTTCTTGGTACGCCCCAGTGAAATGGCCGGATGCGGCAAGGTGCGACTTGGAATTTTGGAGCACGGTTTTTGAAGACTGGCACGGCCAACCATTTTGGAAAAACTGCCCAAAGGCAACGGTCCTGACCTGGTCCGATGCGAGCGACTCTGGCTGGGGCGGATTTTTAGTAGGAGGCAGTGCAGTCGAGGTAGCCAGAGGAGAGTGGTCCAATGAGATTTTGAATGACCGAAGAAGCTCCACGTGGAGAGAATTGAGAGCAATCGCGTTGGTGCTTGAATCATTAGCACACAAACTAGAAGGAGGTATCTGCATTCACAGAAGCGATAACCAGGCAGCTGTGCACATTATCCAGGTGGGCAGCAGAAGGGAGCATTTGCAAAGGGAGGCCATGCGAATCCTCCAGGTGTGCATGAAGCACGGAATCCGCCTGATTGCCGAATGGGCTCCCAAAGAACAAAATGAACTGGCGGACTACTATTCGAAAATAGTTGACACAGATGATTGGTGGCTAAACCCGGCTGTTTTTGAACAAATCGAGCGTCCCCATACGCTAGATTGCTTTGCGAGTCTGAGGACGAAACAGTTAAAGCGTTTCTGTTCAAGGTGGTGGAATCCGGGATGTTATGCGATCGATGCCTTTACGGTTGATTGGTCAATGGAAACGGTGTGGCTTACACCTCCGTTCCACCTAATACCCAGGGTTTTGAGTATGTTAAAAATGTGCTGCGGCCATGGCACACTGGTCGTGCCTAAGTGGGTGTCAGTGGATAGGTGGCCAAAATTACATGGGAGGCAAAGCTGGAAATTTGTAAAAGGAGTTTTGGTGCTACCCCATGATGAAAACACATTTCTGGAAGGTACCTGCCCTTACAACTTGCTGGGGGGGGGGGCAAGCAATATTATACAGAAATGCTGGCTTTAAGAGTGTGCATGAAGAATAACTGTTGCTGATTTGCGTACTGACACGATTGCTGTGGTTTTGTGGCGCGAGCATATGTGAGTGCACGGTGCAAGAGGCATTGTCCTATGTTGGTGTTCAGGGAACACCATTGCCTGCAGGGCAGGAGGCAGATGCTGCTGACAATGTCATAATCCGCAGGGTGGACGGATGCTGCTGCTGGTGATGTCGATGACGATGTTGTAGCCCTCAGGGCTCGGCAGACGCTGCTGCTGATGCCGTTGTATAATGCTCTTCAAGTGATGCTGATAGCTGCTGCAGATGCGGAAGCCGACGCTAATGCTGATGACTCTGTTGACAGGCGCCTCACGTTATGATCTTGTGTTCATGCCTAGAGCTGAGGGCGGTTCAAGTGGAGCCAACCCAGGAGCTCGTGAACCTATCCAGGAAGATTCCAGAAGTCATGTTGGCGAGTAGGGCACCGGGAACAGTGACCAAGTATTTGTCGACATTTCAGCGCTGGCAAGAGTGGGCTAGCAGTCA